TAGTTATACTATTAATTATTTAAGTAATCATTTAATTATTCTATTACTAATTATTTGTTTAATTGCTATGTACGTTATTAATTATCTAATTAATTATTTATATATAAAATTTTATTAATGAAACTAGTTAGATTAATTTATAATTAAAGGATTGTTGCTATTGACTAAATGTATTCCTCCACTTTTATCATCCCGGCTTGAGACTGACAAGGACAGTGTTATACGAGAATTTGACTCTTAATATGATACAATGAAGCAACAAGATTCATATAGCCGGCCCTATGTAGCGGGATAAAGGTTTGATGTTATTTTTGTAGATTAATTCCTGATTAAAAACATGGTATTCTTCTTTACCATCATTTGGCTATTTCAATAATTTATCTTCTCTTCTAATAGCCTTAGGCCTATCTTGGGTTTGCTTTTCCTCTTCTCTATTTATTCGTTGTTGTTCGGCTTTGTCTGCTTTGCGTGAGGTAGAGTTTTAATGAGTCGCTAAAAGCTTCTTCGCCTTCTTTGACAATTTTCCTTTCCTATTGGATTGGAAGTCATGATAGTTTGACAACATTCTTCCTGTTGGATCGGAAGCAATGGCAAGAGCTCTTTCGATGCGAAGGTAACATCTCTTTGACCTCCGCGCGCTTTTTTTGCCAAATCCCGTAAATACATTGAACTATAGGATTTACTAAATTCGGTATTTATGTCAAAAAAGGTGGAAAAAGTTTATTTAACTTGGTGAGATTTGAGCGGATTTTTTTTTGGGTGTTTGGCATGATTTAACATATATCCTGCTTAAATCATGCATAAATCCTATATCCAAACAGCCCCATAATTATGTTTATTTCAACATTTGAGTTTGAAGGCTTGCTTATTTAAGTTTTACTATCTTATACCTCATTTCCTTCTTACTTCTGATTTGAAGTTACGATTTTGAAGGAGGCAAGGGGACCTCTGAAAGGATAGATTTGGATCCTCTCCAATTATTACCATGGTAATTGCACAATGCATTTGCTCGCATCTTAAATGCCCAATTTACTAAATTCGGGCATTGCTGGATTTGACTTAAATCTGCTAGTTGCACGGAGTCCTCTTTCTCCCTCACATGTAGTTGGTATTTTTGATGGCTTCTCTAGCTAGCCCCCATCACGATTTGCTTGCTTCTTTGTTCTCAAGGGTTTTGTAAATTTTTGGGCGAAAGATGAGGATTTCAGGCATTAGGTGTGCTGCTGTAAGTTTGTTTCTGCAAATTTATTTTGCTTAAGGAGAAAATTGTGTCGGAATTTCGTCTACAAATTGAATATTTTTGTTAGGTTGAATTCTGATGCTCTACAATTAACACTATTGTACGGTGCAATCAGCTACAGTCAAGGTCTTGTTCACTTAAGTTTCTCTATCTCGTACTTTCTTTACTTGTGCCTTTGATTTGAAGTTAGGATCTGAAGGAGGCAATGGAATCGGCTCTTCTTCCATTTACCTGTGTGCGATATCCTATAAGCTTTTACTTGCTGATGTGCTCTGCTTTCTCTGTTTATTACTGAAGGGAGCATTTGAGAGGATAGATTTGTATTTCTCCAATTATTATCATGGTTATTTCACTATGTATTTGCTTACATCTAACCGTGCAATCTGGTTTGCCTTCTCTCCGTATAATTCCATTAGTAAATTGCTGGGAGATGTTTCTTTGAGCTTGTTCCACAGACTATATTATAGTTTGGAAGATTATAGTTTGTACTTTCAATTAGAAAGAACGGCAATTTTAGAGATTGTTTGGTTTCAAGTGAGAGTAGGTTTAATGCCATTGAGCAACACACGGATGGCCTGTTGATGGAATCCTCTGCTGGCAACTGTTGTTGCTATACATTTACAATTTTAGGTCATATGTCTAGTAAAATAAATATTTAGAATGGTGCGCCTCTAATGTTCTCTTATTTCTGAGGTTTTTATTTTTTTCATTTGATAGATGCTTCGGTCATGATTTCAGAAGGCTGCATGACTAATACAACCTATTTTCGAGGCTCTTGTCATCACATCTATTGGTTTGTTTCAGCTTGCATAGCATTTTGTCTGAGTTTACAGGTAAATCTGATGTTCAATCGTAATGTTCTGAGTGCATGTCTTTTAACTTAAAGAGGCTATTATGAGACGAGGCGAGGAGATCTAGGAAGGTCAAAATATTGGCAACCGATTTTCCTCTGCCTTGATTTTGTTTCTTCAACAATATGTTCCTGGAAGTTGATTTCAACATATCACAATAATGCCCAAAGAAAGCTATTGTGTACATTCTAATTTTTAAATGAATATGATGATCTAAATAGGGCAAGTCAAAAAATTGGCGAGGATATCTTGGAAGGTCAAAATATTGGCAACCGATTTTCCTCTGCCTTGATTTTGTTTGTTCAACAATGTGTTCCTGGAAGTTGATTTCAAAAGGTCACGATAATGCCCAAAGAAAGCTATGGCTTACATTCTAATTCTTTAATGAATATCATGATCTAAATAGGGCAAGTCTGAGCCTCATTTATTCTGTTTGTTTGGTCTGCAAGAACCTGCTAAAAGTTTTTACGGGTGTTTTCATTTAATTGACTCTTTGAGCTAGCGGTGTATAAGCATTTTAATGAAGATTTACTTTTTTAAGTGACTGCTAAATGCTACGTTTTAGTAGCTACAACATATCTTTTTATGTAATCTCAGATGCATGAAAATGCTAATATATTTATTAAGCCTTGCTGTTGTTACTAGTATATCATTGCCTTGTTTATTATTATTGTTATTATTTTTGTAACGCACTTGAGCAGGAAGAAACATAACACAAGAATAAGTTCTCCCTCTCTCATGATCTCGTTTTTGAAGAGGGAAAAAGCTTTTGGTTATTTGCTTTTTTGGTTATTATACAAAATTATCCCTATTTAAAGAAACAAATAACTAGAGAATAATTGCCTTAATATAATCCTCCCCCCAAATATAGATGGAGATCGGCGTGATCCAGACAAGCTTCCCACGGATGTCCATGTTGGTTGTGGGATCAAGGGATGGTTGGAATTTTAACATATTGAAGGTTGATATTTACAACAATACAATTTTTTTTTCAAATCTGAAGATAAGCTGTTGTATTTATCTGCACCATATAGTGGCACCACAAAAGATGCTGTGTAAATATTGGTAAACAACTTGAACTATGTTTATCATTCTGCTCTTTGCTTGCTTCCTTTCTAAATGCGTTGCTTGTGTTGGTTTTATGGTGAACATCCCTTGTTGCTTCTTTACTTCATTTGGTGGCAGGCTTGCTATGGTTGAGATAGAGCTTTTTGCCATCCTCAACAATTGGTTTATCGAAACATAATTTTCTTGCCTTCAACAGTCTGTATGGGTTGCTTTTCCCAACAACTCGGATGAAGTTTATCTCAGTACTGTGTCTTTTTTTAGCTAGTTGGCTTGACTCAATTGCACCCCTCTTTGCAGCCACCTGAAACACTCTTCCAGAAAAGAAGTTGGGCAGTTAAAATTGAAAAAAAAATACCAAATATCTTTTGGTAAATATAGCTCAAACATTTAAAAGGACAATTTCTTTTATGTTTGTTGTGCAAGTTCCTCTATTATATAATCTCTATAAACAAATGGAATGAAAGTTAGCATCTCAAACAAAAAAATAATATATAATTATTCATCTTTCTCCTTTCTCTGTTATCTTTTTTAGTCATTGTGCCATCCTCTTGTGTGAATTCTGTGAGTTTATCAGTAAATTTGTAGTTATATCATAATGTTTTGTTGTAAATGTCTTCTTACATGCTTGGGCTATGATGATGTGCCCAAGCATACGGCGCAAGTTGATCCTGGAAGGCCTAAATGCAGGCAACCGATTTCCTTGCTGTGTCATACTGCTTGTATTCTTTTTGATAATTCATCAATAGCAGCAGCAACGGTATCTTCATCATCATCTTTTTCTTCTTCTTCTTTTGTTTTTGTGTTCCTCCAATAGTTTGTTAATATTTTATGGAAAAATAGATGCAAGAAAGATTGTCCAGTGTAAAACTAACTTTAAAATGTGAAGATAAGCTGTTGTACTTAAACTCATCAAGCACATCATCTGCCTCATCAACAGCATCTTGCTGCTGCCATATACATTTGTTGAGAGCCGGGTTCTGATCAAGGGACAAGGGACAAATGAGATTTAATGTGAGCTAGGTGTGCCTCCCACGGATCTTCATGCTGATCATGGGATCAAGGGTCAAGGGATGGTTGGTATTTTAACATAATGAAATTTGATATTTACAGCTATACAATTTTTTGTTCAAATCTGAAGATAAGCTGTTGTATTTATCTGCACGATCTAGTGGCACCACAAAATATGCTGTGGAAATATTGGTAAACAACTTGAACTATGTTTATCATTCAGCTCTATGTTATCTTGCCTGCTTCCTTTCCAAATGCGTTGCTTGTGTTGGTTTTATGGTGAACATCCCTTGTTGCTTCTTTACTTCATTTGGTGGCAGACTTGCAGCTATGGTTGAGATAGAGCTTTTTGCCATCCTAAACAATTGGTCTATCGAAACATAATTTTCTTGCCTTCAACAGTCTGTATGGGTTGCTTTTCCCAACAACTCGGATGAAATTCATCTCAGCACTGTATCTTTTTCTAGCTAGTTGGCTCGACTCAATTTCACCCCTATTTGCAGCCACCCGAAATAGACTTTTCCTGAAAATAAGTTGGGCAGTTTAAAACTTTAAATTGAAAAAAAATACCAAATATCTTTTGGGAAATATAGTTCAGACATTTAAAAGGAAAATTTCTTTTATGTTTATTTTGCAATTTCCTCTATTATATTATCTCTATAAACAAATGGAATGAAAATTAGAATCTCAAACAAAAGTTTAATTTATAATTATTCATCTTTCTCCTCTATCTGTTATCCTTTTTAGTCATTGTGTCATCATCTTGTGTAAATTCTTTGAGTTTATCAGTAAATTTGTAGTTATACCATAATGTTTTGTTGTAAATGTCTTCTTACATGAAGGGGCTATGTTGATGTGTCCAAGCAGATGTCGCAAGGTGATCCTGGAAGGTCTAAATGCAGGCAACCGATTTCCTTATTGTTTCATATTGCATGTATTCATTTTGATAATTCATCAAAAGCAGCAGCAACGGTATCATCATCATCATCTTCCTTTTCTTTTTTTTCTTCTTCTTCTTCAGACCCAAAACCAAACGGATTGCATGCACTATCATCCTTTATATCATTTTGATGATGAAAACTGGGCGGTTCTGAGCCTCATATATTGCTGTCTTTCGAGCAATTGATATGCATAATATTTACTTAAATGATTCTTAATTGGATTTGCTTTGCGATAACTAAATCTACATCCTACCATAATTTTTTTTCATGGCTATGTTGAAAATAGATGATTTTATTCTTTACACTCAGACATATTAACTAAAATGTGCTTATACTTCTACCTCAATATGTTTCTCACCATTATACTTCTACTTTGGTTATTTGGCCTAGTACAACCTTCATTTTTAGGCTTTGTTGTGTTCTGATTTATTCTAATGGTTTATTTAAAATTTTGGAGGTAAGAGAGAATGGTTAGTTCAAGTCAATTATACAACTTGCTGATATATTCTTAAATTTAGGGTAAGAAAGCTTCTTTGCCTCCTTCGACGATGTTACGTCGAAGTTGTTCCTGTCGGATTGGAAGTCACGACAGGAGCTCGCCGCGAAGGTAACAACATCTCTCCCGTTTAGCGCGATTGTTTGTCTGAGTTTTGCTCAGTTAATGACCCAAGAGAGTGAGGATAGAAATCCCTGAGTTATTCGAAACCTTAGAAAGTATGATTGCTTTCGAGCTGAACAAAGGGGCGGATTTGGGAGATGTCTATAAAAATCTTCTGTTGTTCTTTTGGGCAGAAACGATGTCATTTTAGAGGCTGTTTGGTTGTAAATGTATATGAACATAGAGCGATTGAGCAGATTGTACACTATATTTCTGCTTTGGCTTCACGTGCTTGGATTGAAGTAGAGTTTTGAAAGAGTCGCTAAAGAAAGCTTCTTCGCTTCCTTGGACGACTTTGTTTCTGTCGGATGGGTTGTCAGGACAGGTGCTTGCCGCGAAGGTAACAATCTCTCCTATTTAGCAAGTTTATTCGACTAATGAACCTGAGAGCGAATGAGGATGGAAATATGAGTTATTGGAAATCCTAGAAGGTATGATTGCTACAGACCTGACGAAAGTGGAGGATTTTAGATATTTGCATAAAAATCTCTGTAATTGTTCTTTTGGGGAGAGATGGCATTTTAAATGATGTTTTGTTGCAAATGTATATAAACCTATAGCAACTGAGCAGCTTGGATGGCATGCTGGTGGTATTCACTGCTTGCAATCGCTGTTGACATGTGCTTGTACTTTACGGTTTCAATTTTGGGGGATTTATGTACACATCACTCATAATTATCTCATTTACATATAATATCTCTACTTGATTTGAATCTATCTACTAGCTGTGGTTTTATATGTTGCTCGTAAGGGCATCGCAAACCGAAAAACTCATTTTTCCACTCCAAAATTATTTGGCTTGAGCTGATGCTTTGGTGATGATTTCATTAAAGTTATGGGACCACCAGGCCACCAGGTGAATATTCTTTTACATGCTTATTATGGATGGATTATTAGGGCTGTTCAGCAACAAGCAGGATTTAGGAAATCCAGTGAATCTGGATTTACCAAATGCTGAGGGTGCTAAATCTTGGAATTTGTTTGGCAACAGAGATGTTTTATACTGGTAGATTCTGTGAAACTGTTTGGCAACATGATTTAGGATTGAAAGGGAGCATTTGAGAGGATAGATTTGGATTTCTCCAATTATTATCATGGTTATTGTGCTATGTATTTGCTTGCATCTAACCATGCAATCATGTTTGTGTTCTCTCCGCATAACTCCATTAGTAATTTGCTGGGAGATGTTTCTTTGAGTTTGTTACACAAACTATATTATCCTTTTTTCTTCAGGGAAATGTGATGTATTATTAATCAGGTTAATGTGACCTGGATGCATCATTTTCCTCTCTTGATATATGTCAAGAGCGAATGCCAGGAGAAGTCTGCATATCATTGAAAGCTTAGGGGATGTTTGGCTGCCAGATTTAATTGAGATTTAATCTAGATTAAGGTTAAATTGTGGCAAACAAAATATTTTTTTTGAAATGTAAATCTTACGGTTGTACTAAATCTTGTTTCTTCCTCCAATTCTAAGTTTAAACATGGAAATCCTGTGGTGCTGTTTGGTTATAAGAAGGTTTTAATTTAGATAGATAGTGTAAATTAAAATTTTAACAAATCTTTGAGACTGCAAATCTTTGAAATTGTTTGGCATGATAGAATTTAAATTTTGTTTAGTTTCTAGTGAATTTTCTGGTAGGTTTTTTTAAGATTTAAGGTTTAAATGATGGAGAGAGAGAACGTTAAGGAGAAGTGCACATTTCTTTAATCCTACTTCCCCAAGGATTTTACTAAATTTGGGTTTTAGCATAAACAACACAACAACAACAAAATCAAGCCTTTATCCCACTACGTGGGGTTGGTTACATGGATACTTTTTCTCCATTGTGTCGGGTTAAGAGTCAAAATTTCATTTAGATCTAATAAAGAAAGGTCATTTCTAGTATTTTCTAATTAAGTTTTTTTTGGTCTACCTCTACGTTTTCTAATATAGGTTAAATCTAATACATTTACTCTCCTAACCGGGTCTTCATAAGGCCGCCGTTTTATGTGACCAAACAATCTATGGTGACTCTTTCTAATTTTATTTGTCATTGGAGCTTCTCCGATCTTTTCATGTATATGTTCATTTCATGACCTATCTCTAAGATTAAAGCCACTCATCCACCTAAGCATCCTCATCTCTGCAAGACCTAACTTTATATTAGGCTTCTCTTTTAATGGCCAACATTCTGCGCCATAAAGCTTTGCAGGTCTGGCCACCATTTATATAATTTTCCCATAAATTTGAGTGGTACTTTTTTATCACACAACAAGCCCGATGCATTCCTCCACTTCATCCCATAAGTTTGAGTTGGTTTTAGCTTAAAACGTGAGAAAAATATGATTTAAGACAGCCATAAGATTTATGTGGCTTAAAAAATTATGTGGCGGTTATATACATACCACCTAAATCTTGACTATTTACAAAACTGATTTCTGTCTTTCTGCTAAAAAGTCTAAAATGCTGAAGGAAAGGGTGAGGATAGCATCTTTTTGGATGGATATGTCTAGTTTGTTATTCTCAATTTTCTTTTGTTTGGAAAAAAATGGATTAAGATATCTTTGTGAGCTCTTTCTTGCAGCTGGCTTGCTTATCAGCATAATGAAGTCGGTGCAATATGACAGTTTTTGTAAGGTTGGATTACGATCATGTACAGGTACTATAATTGTACTGTGCAATAACCACAACATCCTTGCATTGCTATTGATTTATTGCACCTATGGTTTAATTGTGTGTGCTTTTTAATCAGTATTTTCCTTAGTTTGTTGATCGAAACATTTCATTAATTTTGGACTCAAAAGGGTATGATTGCAAAAAACCTCAAGAAGGGGTTAACTTTAGGATATTTGTAAAAAAGCTCTCTTGTTTGCTCTTTCGGTGAGAAATGATGGCATTTTAGAGGCTGTTTGGTTGCAAGTGGGTCAGTCCTGTGGCGGTTTAACAGCTTATATGGCCTGCTGGTGGTATCCCCCACAAGCAACTGTTGTTGCCATTCATTTGAATGACTATTTTATATTTAGAGAAATTCCATTGACTATGCTGTATATTTTATTTATATCCAAGAATTGGTGGCCCGTTCTGTTGATGGATCTTGGGAAATCTGGGCCTCTGGCGATGAGTTCTTCATTTAGCTTGCAGAATTTTTAGCATTTTCGGTAATTGATTTATCTGGTTTGATTAGATGTGACTCTCTCTAATCTTATCGGCCATTGGAGCTACTTCAACATTTTCATGCATATACTCGTTTTGCATTCTTTCTCTAAGAGTAAAGCCACTCATCCACCTAAGAATCCTCACTCTTCAACACTTAATTTGATGCTTCTCTTTTAGTGGCCAATATTTTGCAATATAAAGTATTGCGGGTCTCACACTCATTTTGTAGGCTTCTTCCTTAAGTTTGAGGTGTACTTTTCTATCACACAACAAGCCCAAAGCATTCCTCCACTTCAAATGTGTAACTTGAATTTAACCAATTATATCCCCGTCTACTTCACCATCACTTTAAACAATAGGCACGAAATATCTAAATTATGTACTTTTTTTAAATGATTTCATCACCCAAAGTCATAATCTCCCTACTATATCTATTACTGCTAAAATTAAGCTTCATGTATTCGATTTTAGGTACTTAAATGAAAACCCATTAGACTCTAAAATTGGCTTCCATAATTCACGTTTTTCTCGAACTCCCTCTCTACTCTTATCAACAAGAATTTCATCAGCAAAACTTCGTGGATGAGGGGAAAGTTTGGAAGATTATGGTTTGTACTTTCAATGAGAAAGAACGATATTTTTAGAGTTTGTTTGGCTTCAAGTGAGAGTAAGTTTAATGCCATTGAGCAACATGGATGGCCTGACTGTTATTGCTATACATTTACAATTTTAGGTGGTATGTCTAGTAAAATGAATGTTTAGAAAGGTGCACCTCTAATGTTCCTTTATTTCTCAGGATTTTATTTTTTCATTTGATAGATGCTTCGGTGGTGATTTCAAAAGGATTCATGAGTAATACAGTCTATTTTCTAGGTGCTTCACAGTTATTACCCTTCTTTAATGGAGGAGACCAGTAAGTTCTCTTATTACAACACTTGCGCTCTCACTCTATTTCGTCCCCTCTGCCATTACAGGCTCTTGTCATCTCATTCGTTGTTTTGTTTCAGCTTGCATAGCATTCTGTCTGAGTTTACAGGTAAATCTGTTGTTCAATCGTAATGTTCTGAGTGCATGTCTTTTAATTTAAAGAGGCTATTATGATACGAGGTGAGGAGATCTTGGAAGGTCAAAATATTGGCAACCAATTTTCTTGTTTATTATACGTGACAAGGAAGGAACAGAACGAAAGAGCAAGCTCTCCATCTCTCATGATCTTGTTTTTGAAGTAGACCCAAATGCCTTGCTCTAATACCATGTTAAATTTAGAGAATTGCAGAGGGAAAAAGCTTTTGGTTATTATATAAAACTATCCCTATTTAAAGAAACAAATAACTAGAGAATCATGTATAATTGACTTAATATAATCCTTTCTAAATCAGCCACCCAAATATAGAAATAGATCGACGTGATCTAGGCAAGCTTTCCACGGATCCCATGCTAGTTGTGGGATCAAGGGCCAAGGAATGGTTGGGATTTTAACATATTGAAGGTTGATATTTACAGCAATACAATTTTTTGTTCAAATCTGATGATAAGCTGTTGTATTTTTCTGCACCATCCAGTGGCACCACAAAAGATGCTGTGGAAATATTGGTAAACAACTTCAACAATGTTTATCGTTGTGCTCTATGTTATCTTGCCTGCTTCCTTTCCAAATGCGTTGTTTGTGTTGGTTTTATGGTGAACATCCCTTGTTGCTTCTTTAATTCATTTGGTGGTTTTTGCCACCTCAACAATTGGTTTATCGAAACATAATTTTGTTGCCTTCAATAGTCTGTATGGGTTGGTTTTCCCAGCAGCTCGGTTAAAATTTATCTCAGTACTTTATCTTCTTCTAGTTAGTTGGCTTGACTCAATTGCATCCCTATTTGCAGCCTCCCGAAACAGACTTTTTCCGAAAAGAAGTTGGGCAGTTCAAATTGAAAAAAAATCCAAATATCTTTTGGTAAATATAGTTCAAACATTTGAAATGACAATTTCTTTTATGTTTGTTTTGCAAGTTCCTCTATTATATTATCTCTATAAACAAATGGAATGAAAATTAGCATCTCAAACAAAAATTTAATGTATAATTATCAATCTTTCTCCTCCATATGTTATCCTTTTTAGTCATTGTGCCATCCTCTTGTGTGAATTCTGTGAGTTTATTAGTAAATTTGTATTTATTTCATAATATTTTGTTGTAAATGTCTTCTTGCTTAATCGGGCTATGATGATGTGCCCAAGCAGATGTCGCAAGGTGATCCTGGAAGGTCTAAATGCAGGCAACCGATTTCCTTGCTGTTTCATACTGCTTGTATTCATTTTGATAATTCATCAACAGCAGATTTAACTTTGTATTTTTTTGCCCAAGAGACAACGAGGATGGAAATCCCTGAGTTATTGGAAACCCTAGAAGGTATGATTGCTTTAGAGCTGAAGGGGCGGATTTGGGATATGTATATAAAAATTTTATGTAGTTGTTCTTTTGAACAGAAACGATGCCATTTTAGGGGCTGTTTGGTTACAAATGTATATAAACATATATCGATTGAGCAGATTGCACACGGTATCGATGCTTCGGCTTCTTGTGCTTGGATTGAAGTAAAGTTTTGAAAGAGTCGCTCAAGGAAGTTTCTTCGCTTCCTTGGACGACGTTGTTCCTGTCGGATGGGTTGTCACGACAGGTGCTCGCCTCGAAGGTTGCTCACGGTAACGATCTCTCTCCTGTTTAGCGAGCTTATTTGACTAATTCCTATTCAATAAATGAACCCATGAGGCAACGAGGATGGAAATCTGAATTATTGGAAACCCTAGAATGTATGATTGCTACAGAGCTAACAAAAGGGACGGATTTTAGATATTTGCATAAAAATCTGTGTTAGTTGTTCTTTTGGGGGGAGAGATGATGGCATTTTAACTGCTATTTTGTTGCAATTGAGCAGCTTGGATGGCATGCTGGTGGTATTCGCTGCATGCAACTGCTATTGACATGCGCTTGTATTTTACGATTTCTATTTTGGGGGATTTACGTACACATCACTCAAAGTTACCTCATTTATATATTTAACATGTCTATCTGATCTGAATCTATCTACTAGCTGTGGTTTATATGTTGCTCGTATGGGCATCTCCAACCGAAAAACTCATTTTTCCACTCCAGAATTATCTGGCTTGAGCTGATGCTTTGGTGCTGATTTCATTAAAGTTATGGGACCACCAGGCCACCAAGTGATTGTTCTTCCACATGCTTATTATGGATGGATTATTTGGGTTTTTTAGCAACAAGTAGGATTTAGGAAATTGAGTGAATCTGGATTTACTAAATGTTGAGGGTGCTAAACCTTGGAAATTGTTTGCAACAGAGATGTTATATACTGGTAAACTCTGTGAAATTGTTTTGCAACATAATTTAGGATTGAAAGCGGTAACTTATTAATTTCAAATTTTGTTATTGTCAATAAGTTACAGTTATAAATACATCTACTCTCCTAACCAAGTCGTTGGAAGGCCGCCATATTATGTGACCAAACCATCTAAGGCGAGTCTCTCTAAATCTTATTTGCCACTCGAGCTACTCCAACCTTTTCACGTACAATGCTCATTTCATGACCTGTCTCTAAAGAGTAAAGACACTCATCCACGCGAGCATCCTAATCTCTGCAACACTTAACTTAATATTATGCTTCTCTTTTAATGGCGAACATTCTGTGACATAAAGCATTGCATGTCTACCCACCATCTTATAGAATTTTACCTTTTACTTTGAATGGTACTTTTCCATCGCACAACAAGCCCGATGCATTCCTCCACTTCATCCCATAAGTTTGAGTGGGTTTTAGCTTAAAACGTGAGAAAAATATGATTTAAGACAGCCATGATATTTATGTGGCTTAAAAAACTGTGGCAGTTATGTGCATACCACCTAAATCTTGACCTTTACCAAACTGATTTCTGTCTTTCATATAAAAAGTCTAAAATGCTGAAGGAAAGGGTGAGGATAGCATTTTTTTAGATGGATATGTCTAGCTTGTTATTCTCAATTTTCTTTTGTTTGGAAAAAAAATGGATTAAGATATCTTTGTGAGCTCTTTCTTGCAGCTGGTTCGCTTATCAGCATAATGAAGTCGGTGCAATGTGGCAGTTTTTGTAAGGTTGAATTACGATCCTGTACAGGTACTATAATTGTACTGTGCAATCACCATAACATCCTTGCATTGCGATTGATTTATTGAACCTATGGTTTAATTGTGTGGGCTTTTTAATCAAGATTTTCCTTAGTTTGTTGATTGAAACATTTCCTTTTATTTTGGACTCGAAGGGTATGATTGCTAAATACATGAAGAAGGGGTTAACTTTAGGATTTTTTTAAAAGCGCTATATTGTATGTTCTTTTGGTGAGAAAGATGGCATTTTATAGGCTGTTTGGTTGCAAGTGGGTCAGTCCTATGGCGGTGTAACAGCTTGTATAGCCTGTTGGTGGTTTCCCCCACAAGCAACTTTTGTTGCCATTCATTTGAATGACTATTTTATATTTGGGGGAATTCCTTGTATCTAAACCCATTGATTAAATATGCTGTATATTTTGTTTATATCCAAGAATTGGTGGCCCTTTCTGTTGATGGATCATGGGGAATCTGAGCCCCTGGCGAAGAGTTTTCATTCAGCTTGTAGAGATTTTTTGCATTTTGGGTATTGATTTGTCTGGTTTGATTAGATGTGACTCTCTCTAATCTTATCAGCCATTGGAGCTACTTCAACATTGTCATGTATATACTAGTTTTGCATTGTCTCTAAGAGTAATGCCACTCATCATCCTTATCTCTGCAACACTTAATTTGATGCTTCTCTTTTAAAGATCAATATTTTGCGAAAGCATTTCAGGTCTCACTATCATTTTATAGAATTTTTCCTTACGTTTGAGGTGTATTTTTCTATCACACAACAAGCCCAAGCATTCCTCCACTTCAAATGTGTAACTTGAATTTAACCAATAATATCCCCGTCTACTTCACCATCACTTTAAACAATAGTCACGAGATATCTAAATTATATATTTTTTAATGACTTAAGCACCCAAAGTCATAATCCCCTACTATATCTATTACCACTAAAATTAAACTTCATGTATTAAATTTTAGATACTTAAATGAAAACCTTTAGACTCTAAAATTGGCCTCCATAATTCATGTTTTTCTTGAACTCCCTCTCTAGTCTTATGAACAAGAAGAATTTCAGCAGCAAAAAGCCTACAGCAGTATAGATTCTCTTGCAAATGTCTAGTAAGAAATTTGTGTCTAAGCAAAAAGATATGGGCTTGAATCTGATCTAGGAAAAATATTTGGTCAAACATCCTTGTGTTTAAACACAAGTAACAGCTCCTGTATGCTTATCCTTAATAACTTAAATATAGGCTTTATTAAATCCTTTTTTAGAACTTTTCAAACCTCTTCTCTTGAAACTTTATCTTAAATCAGTAAATATCATATTTAGATCCTCCTTATTCCCTCTATATTTTTTCCATCAAACATCTCAATAAATATATATCTTATAAATTGAGTTTGAGAAACATTGGTATCACGTTGTAACTTATGCCCAATTACTCTCTCCCATTGGTTTAATGTATGACACATTAACTTAATTCCTCTATGAGATATGAAAATAGTCTGTGGGCTGTTTTGTTGCAACTGCGATTTGTTTGATGGTTATTGAGTGGAGAATTACTGCAGGCTGCGATGGATTTGTAGTTTGTTGTGTTTTTTTCATAGTTGCTTTGCATCTGGATTTGTGAACCAGATTATGCTTTGGAATGGTTATTTACACCCTCTATTTTTCACCATGGAAATACCTTTTTAAATTTTAATGATGCATCAAAGGGAATTTGTGTCTATTTGTGATCTTTGTTCTTTTTGTAAAATTTGACTATAGATTCTTCATAATACCCCTAGTCGAATATTTCCCATAAATTTTTATTTGGGCTAAAATCCTTCAAAATGACTTTTGGGCCAAAATACCCCAAAGCAGGGATCATCTCTTATATTCGTGGAATGCTCAGACGAATTACAATTACTTCAATACAGGTTCCCGAGTCAATTTTCCCACTATTTTGCTGTTTCTAGTGTATTTGGGAATATTTATAACTTTGTTATCCCTTATTTGAGTTTGTTAATTTAACTATTGTCCTTTTTTTAATGAAAATACGATGGAGTTGTATTAATCATATGTATATTTGCCTGTGATACATCATTGTTCTGTTTGATGATATAAGAAAATACAAAGATGAAAGACATCTGTAGGTGACCAAAAACTCTTAGGACGACAAATGAAAACTTAATGGATGGAAATTTTGCATAGATCTCCCTGCAGTTCGTCATTTTGATGAGAGTTAACAGCGTTTTTTATGCTTTTTGTTAGCAAATTTGTTAGTATAATGGTGATTTAGCAGCTTTGATGTACTTGTTTTTCATGCTCTTTGATGAGTTAGACAAGAACTCCAATTTAATGGGTTGATTATGAATGCGTAGCCAATGAGCTTCCCCCCCCCTCTCTCTCTCACTCTCTCTCTCTCTCTCTCTCTCTCTCTATATATATATATATATATATGTATATATATATATGTATATATATGTAATTTAATCTTTTATTTTTCTTTCATTTCATTTCAATCAATCCTATCATCTAAACACTTACCAATGTCACTAGGTATGAAATCAGAAAAAAAAAAAGAAAGAAAATGGGAAAATATGAAGATCATAGTTGGAAACTTCGTGGATGAGGGGAAAGCTTGGAAGATTATAGTTTGTACTTTCAATGAGAAAGAAAGACATTTTTAGAGTTTGTTTGGTTTCAAGTGGGAGTAGGTTTAATGCCATTGAGCGACATGGATGGCCTGTGGATGGAATCCTCTGCGGGCAACTGTTGTTGCTATAAATTTACAATTTTAGTTGGTATGTCTTGTAAAATAAATGTTTAGAATGGTGCACCTCTAATGTTCCCTTATTTCTCAGGATTTTATTTTTTCATTTGTAGATGCTTAGGTGATGATTTCAGAAGGCTGCATGACCAATACAGACTATTTTCTAGGCTCTTAACAGTTTTTATCCAGCATGAATTCAAATTGAGTAGCGTGGCGAAGAGATCTTGGAAGGTCAAAATATTGGCAACCGATTTTCCTCTACCTTGATTTTGTTTCTTCAACAATGTGTTCCTGGAAGTTAATTTCAACAGATCACCATACTGCCCAAAGAAAGCTATTGCGTACATTCTAATTCTTAAATGAATATGATGATCTAAATAGGGAAAGTCTGAGCCTCATTCATTCTGTTTGTTTGGTCTCCAAGAACCTTCTAAAAGTTTTTACGGTTGTTTTCATTTAATTGACTCTTTGATCTAGCGGTGTATAAGCATTTTTAATGAAGATTTACTTTTTTAAGTGACTCTGCTACATGCTACGTTTTAGTAACTGCAACTTATCTTGTTATGTAATCTTTGATGCTTGAAAATGCCAAGATATTTATTAAGCATTGCTGTTGTTACTATTATATCATTTCCCTTGTTTATTATTATTGATACGTCTCCAAAAAATTATCTAGATCAGGCACGAATCGTGAGGAAAAATCAAGTTGGAAACTTCCGAAATGAAATTTGGGACCATCCGAACTCCGATTTCAGCAAACTTATAGTCAAACTGAACATCTCAATGTTCAAGAGACCTCTATCCTTTCGACTATGATCCTGCCGACCGAACAAACATGTCTATGTTGATTATTGTAACTCCCACCATGTAATGCACTCTATATGATGTACATTTGTGACATCAAGCCAAGGCCTTCTCCCAAGGGCCTCATTTGTAATCGACTGCAAATAATAGTGGATTCATTCAAACTAGGCCCCAGGCCCTGTGGTTTTCCCTTTTTTAGGGTTTTTTCCGTAAAAACTCTGGTATCTCTTATGAATGCTACACCCTCTCTCTTATCTACTTATGTGTTGGATTTTCATACAATGCTAAGACGTTAAACTTCATATTTCTCTTCCGCCGCAAATATTATAGGATGCAACAATTATTATTATTTTTTTCTAATTCACGGGAGCAAGAAGGAACAAAACGCAAGAACGAGCTATCATTGTCTTGCTTATTATTATATCATTGCCTTGGTTTTGTTTATTACAGAAAACTATCCCTATTTAAAGAAACAAATAACTAGAGAATCATGCATAATTGTCTTAATATAATCCTTCCTAAATCAGCCACTCAAATATAGATGGAGATTGGTGTCATATAGGCAAGCTTTCCACGGATCTCCATGGTGGTTGTGGGATCTAGGGCCAAGGAATGGCTGAGATTTAAAAACGTGATCTAGATGAGCCTCCCATGGATCTTCATGCTGGTCATGGGATCAAGGGCCAAGGGATGATTTATATTTTAACGTTCTGCTCTATGTTATCTTGCCTGATTTCTTTCCAAATGCGTTGCATGTGTTGGTTTTATGGTGAACATCCCTTGTTGCTTCTTTACTTCATTTGGTGGCAGGCTGGCAGCAATGGTTGAGATAGAGCTTTTGGCCACCTCAACAATTGGTTTATCGAAACATAATTTTCTTTCCTTCAACAGTCTGTATGGGGTTGCTTTTCCCAACAACTCGGATGAAATTTATCTCAGTGCTGTATCTTTTTCTAACTAGTTGGTTTGACTCAATTGCACCCCTAGTAGAAGCCACCCGAAACAGATTCTTCCAGAAAAGAAGTTGGCAGTTCAAGTTGAAAAAAAAAATCAAAAATCTTTTGGTAAATATAGCTCAAACATTTGAAAGGACAATTTCTTTTATGTTTGTTTTGCAAGTTCCTCTTTTATATTATCTCTATAAACAATTGGAATGAAAATTAGCATCCCAAACAAAAATTTAATACATAATTATTCATCTTTCTCTTCCATCTGTTATCCTTTTTAGTCATTGTGCCATCCTCTTGTGTAAATTCTGTGAGCTTATCAATAAATTTGTAGATATATCATAATGTTTTGTTGTAAATATCTTCTTACTTGAAGAGGCAATGATGATTTGCCCAAGCAGATGTCGCAAGGTGATCCTGGAAGGTCTAAATGCAGGCAACCGATTTCCTTGCTGTTTCATACTGCATGTATTCATTTTGATAATTCGTCAACAGCAGCAGCAACGGTATCTTCATCATCTTTTTCTTCTTCTTCTTCATTTTCTTCAGACCCAAAACCAAACGTATTGCATGCAATATCATCCTTTATATCATTTTGATGATGAAAACTGGGCAATTCTGAGCCTCCTTTTATTGGTGGTATCTTTCGATCAATTTATTTGCATAATTTTTACTTAAATGATTCTTAATTGGATTTACTTTGCGATAACTGAATGTACATTCTACCATAATTTTATTTTTTATGGCTATGATGAAATTGGACGATTTTATTCTTTACACTCAGACATATCAACTTACAAATATTTCTCTCACCATTATACTTCTACCTTGGATATTTGGCCTAGTACAACCTTCATTATAGGCTTTGTTGTTTTCTGATTGATACTAATGGTTTATTTAAAATTTTGGAGGTAAGAGAGAATGGTTAGTTTAAATCAATTATACAACTTGCTGATATATTCTTAAATTTAGGGTAATTATGCTAGTCCATTAGAATTGGGTAATGTATTATATTCAACTTTTGGCACTGGATTAAAAGAGGATCAGCGAGTCATTCCTTTTGACAGTCTTTCTTTAATTTCATTTTTATTATTTAATATTACGTCATACTTGAAGTTTTTATTTTGATTTGATTTGCATATGCTAACTTACTCAAAGCATTACTCTTATGGCATGCTTTATAATTTTATGCATTGGGGGTAAAATTGTTAGGGTGTCCTAGAAGGTTTTTTTATCTAGAGGATATTAAGGATGGAGTTATTTTTATTATGATTTATTAATATATTGCTTTGATGTTTTATCCTACTATTCAATTAAAATATTAAATAATATAATTAAATTATTAGGCAAATATAACTAAACTATAAAGTATTTATAATTATAATTATGATAGAAAGTGTGTTGGGTTATTTAGCAGTTTATTGACAAGTATCTATGAATAAAGCTGTTAATTCATATAAGATTGGTGTTTAAATATGTGTTACTATTAATTCTAATTTAAGTTAACACCAATAAATTCTAATTATGAATATTATAATTAGGATATTATTTAATAAGTATTTTATTAATAACTTATTTAAATGTTATCTTAATAAGTATATAAATACCAATTATAATTATACTGATAACTATTTAATTATATTTCAAAATAATTAAGAATTATAATGATAACTATCTAAGTTGATTACTATTTACACTTATTATTTCATTAAATTGTATATAATATTTTAATAAATTTAAATTACTAATTATACTTATAATTATCAAATTAATCAATTAATTATTCTATTAATAACTAATTATTTAATTAATATATACACTACTAATTATCTTATTAAGTATTTATATTTTAATATATATCAATTAAGTTTATTAAATTAATGTCTAATTAAGGAATTAAGAATTAATCTTATCCTAATAGGGAAGGCTTTGCTTTTCACTTTCTTTGTTGTCGTTCAAGCGTCGTAGAGTTTCCTCTTCGGGTTTGAGCGCGGTAGAGCTTTGAACGAGTCATTTGCCATAGTGTTTAGGGTTTGCTTTTCCTCTTCTACATTTATTCGTCTTCGTGTGAAGCAGAGTATTGAAATTTTTAAAACTTCTACGCCTCCTCCGACGGTGTTCCTGGGACTATCGGATCGGACGTACCGCAGGGAGCTCGCGGCGAAGGCAATGATGTTTTTCCCCTTTCGCGCTCTTCTTCGGTCGGATTTTCGAAATCCGTAAAAAAGTTGGACTTATGAAATCCGGGATTTAGGGCAAAAATGGGCTAAATTTGGGCATTGCTGGATTTGACTTAAATCTGCTAGTTGCACGGAGTCCTCTTTCTCCCTCACTTGCAGTTGGTAATGTTGATGGCTTCTCTAGCTTGCCCCATCACGATTTCCTTGCTTCTTTGTTCTCAGGGTTTTGTAAATTTTTGGGCTAAAGATGAGGATTTCAGACATTAGGTGTGCGGCTGTAAGTTTGTATCTGCAATTTTATATTGTTTAAGGAGAAAATTGTGTCGGGATGTCGTCTACAAAATGAATATTATTGAAAGGTTGAATTCTGATGCTCTACAATTAACACTATTGTACGGTGCAATCAGCTACAGTCAAGGTCTTGTTCACTCAAGTTTCACTATCTCATTCTTTCTTTACTTGTGCCTTTGATTTGAAGTTAGGATCTGAAGGAGGCAATGGAATCAACTCTTCTTCCATTTACCTGTGTGCGATATCCTATGAGCTTTTACTTGCTGATATGCTCTGCTTCCTCTGTTTATTACTGAAGGGAGCATTTGAGAGGATATATTTGGATTTCTCCAATTATTATCATGGTTAATTCGCTATGTATTTGCTTACATCTAACCATGCAATCTGGTTTGCATTCTCTCTGCATAACTCCATTAGTAAATTGCTGGGAGATGTTTCTTTGAGTTTGTTCCACAGACTATATTATCCTTTTTTTCTTGAGGGAAATATGATGTATTAATCAGGTTAATGTGACCCGGATGCATCTTTTTCCTATCTGATATATGTCAAGAGAGAATGCCAGGAGAAGTCTTTATATAATCGAAAAGCTTAGGGGATGTTTGGCTGCCAGATTTAATTGAGATTTAATCTTGATTAAGTTTAAGTTGCGTCAAACAAAATATTTTTTTGAAATGTATATCTTACGTTTGTGATACATCCTGTTTCTTCCTCCAATTCTTGGAAATTGTTTGGCATGATAGAAGTTAAATGTGGTTTTGTTCTAGTAAATTGTCTGGTAGTTTTTTTTTTCTTAAAGATTTAAGGTTTAAATGAAGGAGAGAAAGAGAATGATAAGGAGAAGTGTACATTTCTTAAATCCTACTCCCCCAAGGATTTTACTAAATTTGGGTTTTAGCATAAACAGCACAACAACAACAACATCAAGCTTTTATCCCACTGCGTGGGGTTGGTTACATGAATCCTTTTTCACCATTGTGTTTGGGTAAGAGTCAAAATCTCATTTAGATATAATAAAATAAGGTCATTTCTAATATTTTCTAGCCAAGTCTTTTTTAGTCTACCTCTACTAGGGCTACAAACGAATCGAGCCGAGCCGAGTATGTGAGTGGTCATGTTTGAGTTCGTTTATTATTAGCTTGTTCAAGTTTGGTTCGTGTTTGATTCGAGCCTTATTGTTCGTGTTCATGTTTGGTTCGTTTAAATTAATGGTGTTCATGTTTGGTTCATGTTCAGTTCATATTCGGTTCGTTTAGTGCTTATCGAGCTTTAAACAAACAAGCCTTAATGAGCTATGTTCGTGAACATATTTAACGAATTTTTTTACACTCTCAAACAAGTAAGTTCATGAACAATTCTAAAAAGTATTATGAGCTATCAAATGAGCAAGATCATAAATAAATATATAACTAGTATTTTCGAGCTACCAAATGAGCTCGTTCACGAACAAACGATCTATGATTCATCTTATATTTGTTTATGAACATCTTAAACAAACAATTTAGCAAACATTGAGATATGTGGAATGTCTTGTTCATGAACAAATTCATTCTATTGAAGATATAAAATAAAATGAAATTAAATTTATAATAATAGTTCATGAACATAAATGAACCGAACACATTAGTGTTCAAGCTTGTTTATTTATAAAATAAAATGAAATTAAATTTATAATAAAAGCAATTCATGAACATAAATGAACCAAACACATTAGTGTTCAAGCTTGTTTTTTTAAGGATCGAGTATTACAAATATTGTTCAAGTTTGTTTGTTTAGTTAGTTAAACGATCACAAATGAGCTTTAATCGAATCGAGCAACGAGTAACTCGTCGAACGTTTGGTTCGCTTGCAGCCCTAGCATCTACCTTTCTTAACATAGGTTAAATCTAATACATCTACTCTCCTAACCGGGTCATCGGAAGTCCGCCATTTTATGCGACTCTCTCTAATCTTATCTTCTACTAGACCTACTCCAACCTTTTCATGTATATGCTCATTTCATGACCCGTCTCTAAGAGTAAAGCCCCTCATTCACCTGAGCATCCTCATCTTTGCAACACTTAACTTAATATATTATGCTTCTCTTTTAATGGCCAACATTCTGGGCCATACCACCATCTTATAGAATTTTCCCTTAAGTTTGGGTGGTATTTTTCTATCACACAACAAGCCTGATGCATTTCTCCACTTCATCCCATAAGTTTGAGTGGGTTTTAGCTTAAAATTTTGAGAAAAATATGATTTAAGACAGCCATCAGATTTATGTGGCTTAAAAAATTACGTGGTAGCTATATACATACCACCTAAACATTGACTATTTACCACACTGATTTCTGTCTTTCCTCTAAAAAGTCTAAAATGCTAAACGGTGAGGATAGCATCTTTTTAGATGGATGTGTCTAGTTTGTTATTCTCAATTTTCTTTTGTTTGGAAAAAAATGGATTAAGATATCTTTGTGAGCTCTTTCTTGCAGCTGGTTTGCTTATCAGCATAATGAAGTCGGTGCAATATGCCAGTTTTTGTATGGTTGGATTACAATCCTGTACAGGTACTATAACTGTACTGTGCAATCACCACAACATCCTTGCATAGTGATTGATTTATTGCATGTATGGTTAATTGTGTGGGCTTTTTAATCAAGATTTTCCTTAGTTTGTTGATCGAAACATTTCCTGTTATTTTTTATCCTTCCATAATTCAAATTGAGTTTGATAAACATTTATATCACGTCGTAACTCGTAACTTATGCTCAATTACTCTCTCCCATTGTTTTAATGCATGCCGCATCAACTTAATTCCCCTATTAGATATGAAAATAGTCTTTGGGCTGTTTGGTTGCAACTGAGATTTGTTTGAAGGTTATTGAGCGAAGAACTTGCAGTTCATCAGTTTGATGAGAGTTAGCAGCATTTTTTATGTTGTTTGTTAGCAAATTTTTTAGTATAATGGGGATTTTGCAGCTCTGATGTCCTTGTTTTTTATGCTCTTTGATGAGTTTGACATATGAATGCGTATCCAAATAATGAGCTCTCTCTCTCTCTCTCTCTCTCTCTCTCTATCTCTCTCTCTCTATATATATATATATATATATATACACACCTCAGTTTTTATATTTACTAATTTATCATTTTAATATTTAAATTGCATTAAAGCATAGCCAATGAAATATGTGTTTTACATTTAATAAGTTAATATTAGTGGTAGTTTTTATTTGTATTAGTGATTTTTTGAAAGATTTAGGTGTTAGATGTGTAAATAGATAAGAATTTGAGGTATGTATGTAAATCTCTCAAATGACATCAGGTTAGGTGCTATTATGCTTCGGTGATGATTTCAGAATGCTGCATGACTAATACAGCCTATTTTCTAGGCGCTTGACAGTTATTATCCTTCTTTAATGGAGGAACAGTAAGTTCTCTTATTACAACACTTGCGTGCTCACTCTATTTCATCCCCTCTGCCATTACAGGCTCTTGTCTGAGTTTACAGGTAAATATGTTGTTCAATCGTAATGTTCTGAGCGCATGTCTTTTAACTTAAAGAGGCTATGATGATACGCTCAAGTAGCCTGGCGAGGAGACCTTGGAAGGTCAAAATATTGGCAACCCATTTTCCTCTGCCTTGATTTTGTTTCTTCAACAATGTGATCCTGAAAGTTGATTTCAACATATCACAATAATGCCCAAAGAAAGCTATTGCGTACATTCTAATTCTTAGATGAATATGATGATCTAAATAGGGCAAGTCTGAGCCTAATTTATTCTCTTTGTTTGGCCTTTGAGCTAGCGGTTTATAAGCATTTTTAATGAAGATTTACTTTTTTAATTGACTCTGCTACATGCTACTTTTTAGTAACTACAACTGAACATATCTTTTTATGTAAAATCTCAGATAAGCCTTGCTGTTGTTACTAGTATATCATTGCCTTATCTTTAGTAACTACAACTTATCTTTTATTATTATTATTATTATTATTTTTGTAACACACTTGAGCAGGAAGAAACATAGCGCAAGAATAAGTTTCTCCCTCTCATGATCTTGTTTTTTGAAGAAGACCTGAATGACTTGCACTGATATCATGTTAAATTTAGACAATTGGAGAGGGAAAAAGCTTTTGGTTATTATACAAAATTATCCCTATTTAAAGAAATAAATAACTAGAGAATCATGCATAATTGCCTTAATATTATCCTTCCTAAATCAGCCACCCAATTATAGAAGGAGATCGGCGTGATCCAGGCAAACTTCCCACGGATGTCCATGCTGGTTGTGGGATCAAGGGCCAAGGAACGGCTGAGATTTAACAATGTGATGTATGTGAGCCTTCCATGGGATCAAGGGCCAAGGAACGGCTGAGATTTAATAATGTGATGTATGTGAGCCTTCCATGGATCTTCATGCTGGCTATGGGATCAAGGGCTAAGGGATGGTTGCGATTCTAACATATTGAAGGTTGATATTTACATAAATACAATTTTTTGTTCAAATCTGTAGATAAGCTGTTGTATTTATCTGCACCATCTAGTGGCACCACAAAAAATGCTGTGGAAATATTGATAAACAACTTCAACCATGTTTATCGTTCTGCTCTATGTTACCTTGCCTGCTTCCTTTCTAAATGCGTTGCTTGTGTTGGTTTTATGGTGAACATCCCTTGTTACTTCTTTACTTCATTTGGTGGCAGGCTGGCAGCAATTGTTGAGATAGAGCTTTTTGCCATCCTCAACAATTGGTTTATCGAAACATAATTTTCTTACCTTCAACAGTCTGTATGGGTTGCTTTTCCCAACAACTCGGATGAAATTTATCTCAGTACTGTATCTTTTTCTAGCTAGTTTGCTTGACTCAACTGCACCCATATTTGCAGCCACCCGAAACAGACTCTTCCAGAAAAGAAGTTGGGCAGTTCAAATTGAAAAAAAATATATCAAATATCTTTTGGTAAATATAGTTCAAACATTTAAAAGGACAATTTCTATTATGTTTGTTTTGCAAGTTCCTCTATTATATTATCTGATGTGATGCATGGTTGGAGTTACACAAGAATTAAAAGAGAATTAAATTCTAGCTCAACGTATTATATAATCATGTATCAAAGTTAAGTCGATTACAAGGAATTCGCGATGTTCAACTTGATAGGCAAAGAAATTACAACAAGATAGCCAAACTATTTAAACAAACGCAAAGGGCAAAGGAAAACATAAAGCAAAGGCTAGTAAATAAAATCCCACAGTTATTACGGAGTTGTTCACACCTTGAGACCTTCTTCTCTCTTTCCTATGAAGACTAGGTTGAGCGGCGGAAGATCGTCCAAACTAGCATTGAGGTTGCCACGAGGAGGGAGGAGCCAAGGAACGTCGCCATGGGGAAGGATCTCGGAGGTGGCGGGAGCACGATAGATCGGCCTTTGATGATCCACGTGTAGACGGAGAAGTGTTCGTCGATGGAATCCACTAGCGTTGGTAGGATCCGGTCCAAGTATTCTTCGACGGTGTCGTCGAAGTCAAAGCCGACGTCGAAGAACTGTGATCTAAGGATGTTGACCCTTCCCCGGTTGTCGTATTCAAACCCGAAATTCCACTCGGGTTCTTCCATGCATTTTTGTAAGGGAGAACAGTGGTCGCCGCAAGAGGGATCTCCAAAGGGAGGGAGATAGGGGTGGCGGCTTGGAGAGGGGAGAGGCTTTGGGCCGTGGGTTTTGAAAGAGGTGTGGGATTTTTGATTGGGAGGGAGAGGGGTGAAGTGGTGGCTGCCTTGTGTGAGAAACAAAAAAAGAAAACAGATTCTCAAATCACGTCAGGCTTTGATTAGGTAATAAAGATTGAGTATTAATTTCAAATCAGATTTTGAAATTAAAATTTTTTTAAGCAGGAGAAAGAGTAACTGAAATAATAGGCAGTGCTTAGGTGGCAATTAGGGAGGTAATTAAGAAACAAGGGGGGCCGGCCATATAGCATGGGGAGAAACATGGAAATTAGCAGGTGGGGTCCACGCTTAATTAAATAATTCCTCAATCAAATCTGAAATTATAATTTCAGATTTGATTATATTTTAAGTAACTCCAGTAAACTCCCAAATTTGAGTTATTAAGAAGGAATAGAATTTGAATTTCTCAATAAACATTTATCCCCTTAAATGTCTTTCTTAATTGGATGAAGACCAATTAGGAAACTAACTTAATTAGGAGTAATTTGAAATTCCAGCACGTTGGGTCCATGGGGAAAATTCGGCGGCAGGCTGTAGGCTGGGCGGCGGGTTGGGGTGTCACGGGAGGGTGCTGAAGGGGGAAAAGGGGATCACCTCGGCAGCAGAGCTTGGTAGCGGGATGGGTAAGTGGCCAGTGACCAATTTTCCTGGCCAGACATAGGACCGGCGAACAAAGAAGAATGGGGGGGAGGGAAATTCCTGGGCTTGGAAACAATAAGAAAACAATGGAGAAAACTTAGAATTTCCTAACCTTGCGCACTCCTTCTTCAAGATCTCAAAGGGAGATCATAACCACGTCGGAACTCACAAGAGATTCCAAAATATTTCTTCAAGAACTCACAAAAGAGAACTGGAACGAAGAACTCACAAAAGAGATCAAAGTAGAAAATTTTATCCAAAAACCCTTCATACAAGATACAAAGAGCCTTTAAATAGCATCAACATGACAAACAAAATATAAAAGTCTAAAATGCCCTCTCTGGAGCTACAAAGCAAACTAATACCACCCTCATGGGTATAAATGGGAAAACTGGAAAAGAAAATGCTTAATACATAAAATGCTTAGTTGCAATAAAATCAGTAAGTAAGACGGTCTCCATCATGTCCGTTCGAACTCCGATGTCTCTCTGGTAGAAAGCATTCGCGCGAAACTTCCTGTCGATACCTTGCTGATTTCAATTTGTTATTGATATTAATCTATCTCACCCCGTTGGAAGAGTAACTCCGGAAAATAAATACTGTCGAGTGCGGGGGAACTATGGAAGTCTTCTCCTTC